GAAATAACAACTGGCAGCACCCTTGCCAGGTATAAAGGGCCGAGGACAAGGTTACGACCAGGGTGCGATTCTCCCTCTAAATCTGGAGGGCCCCAGTCGAACGGTGAACTGCGAAGTTTGCTCACTGCTTAGAGATGCACTCCACATCTCAAGCAAAATGCTGGACGGGGAAGGCTTGAAGGGAAAAAAGGAACTGGCGGAGAGAGAAGAGGGACGAGCAGAGGAGGGTGCATGAGGGAGAGGAGGCGTCCAACTACTTGAGCGCACCTCGGCTGCGCACCCTGTCCTGACAAGGCGAGGGAGGAGGTGAGGGGGTGGGAAATGAATGAGGCCTCTGTTAGGTCTGTTTGTCATCTGCACGCAAGGGCGACCCTAAGCAAGGGTGATCTTTACAGATCCGTGCACGCAATGCGGCAATGCCTACCCCCCCACCCCACCCCACCCTTCCGCGCTATCCGAAAAGCCACCAGGTCTCTCTTACGCGTAGCCGAACTTCGAGGCAGAGAGACAGAGGGAGGGACGCGCCAGGAAATTGTGCTCGGACGGCCAGTGTCCTCCAGCTCCTTGCGCTTACCCACCTCCTCCTCGGGTGTCGCCTTCAGCTCCGCCCTGGAGGCAAAACTACTACTACGACCACTCCCCCAGATGACGACTGCTCCAAGACTACTCCGATCGCGATTGATCATATGACTACGGCTGCGACTGCTGGCACGCTTACTCGCAACAATTAAGAACACCATAGTATGTACCGCATGCGCTGCTCCTACCGCGTACATGATGATCGAGTACCTGGCACGATGCACTGAGTTCGTGATGCGTCTAGTACCCCTTCCGATCTGACGCATGCTCACATATACCTCACATTACCCCACTGACCACCACATCATGCCTACTACGTCTTCTAGTCCTGCTACTACTTCCGAGACCGGTCCAACTGCGACTTTACGTGTTGCACGCCTGTATCATTCCAATATTCGTTCTCCTCCTCCTCCCTCCTCCTCCTCCTCTTCCTCCTCCTCATCCCCCTCCTTCCTCCTCCTCCTCCTCATCCGCCCCATCTTCATCTTCTCCCCCTCCTCCTCGTCGTCCTCCTCCACCTCTTCATCCACCTCCTCCTCCCCCTCCTCCTCCTCCTCCTCCTCCTCCTCCTCCTCCCCTTCCGCATGATCATCATCAGCAGCATCATCATCAGCATCATCATGAGTATGAGCATCGTCATCATCAGCAACATCATCATCAGCATCATCAGCAGCAGCATCAGAATCACCAGCCGCATCATCATCCAGATCCTCATCCTCCTCATGCTCCTCATCCTCCTCATTATCAACATCATCAGCACCATCATCATCATCATCAACAACATCATCATCATCATCATCATCATCATCATCATCATCATTGAGGAGGTAAAAAGCAATAGGAAATAATGTTGGATTACTCTGGCGCCGTGGCGACGAATTGCATCGCAAACTCGCTGTCACTACAAGCTTTTCGAGCACTGCATTTGCATTGCGTTGCATGCGTTCGGTGCCACATTTTCGTTCGTTTGAGTTGGTTGGTTTAGGCATTTTTCGGCCAGAGCCTGAAACCATATGAACGCCGAGTCGGGCCGAGTCGGAAGAGAATCCGTTGAGATGGATGCATGGATGCAGCAAGCTGGCGATGACAGCGCGCGGAAGGAAGACAACAAGGGCAGGGCAGAGGAGCGAGGAGCCGCTGCCCCTGGCCCTGCCCACTTCCTGCTCCTGCCCCCCCACCCCTCGCTTCCTTTGCCCCTGCCCCCCCCTGCCCCTGCCCCACCCTGCCCTGCCTCTCCCTGCTCCTCCCCCCCCCCCCTCCCCCCCCCCTGTCGCCTCTCCCCTCTGCATCCTCCTAATCCCAACTCCTCCTCCTCCAGCTGCCCGCCCTGGCCGTTCGGGCTCGGGCCACGCATGGCTGCTGAAGACGTGCTCGCAGGCCGCGTTGCCCGCGGCCCACCCTCTCTCTCTCTCTCTCTCTCTCTCTCCCTCTCTCTCTCACTCTCTCTTTGTCTCCCCTTGAAGGGGGACGAGGGGGCGAGGTGGAGGGGGGGGGGCGGGAGCAGGAGGGAGGAAAGGACGAGAGAGAGAGAGAGAGAGAAGGAAGGATGAGGAGCGATGAGGGAAGGGAGCAGGGAGGGAGGGAGGACGTCAGTGAAGGGATGCGAGGTGTCAGGCGAAATAAACGAGGGATGGAAGGGAAGGGATGAGAGAGGAGGTTGAGGTCGAGGAAAGCAAGTATAGGGCGAAGGAGGAAGAGGAGATAGAAGAGGAGAGAGGAGAAGGAGGAGGAGAAGGAGGAGGAGGATGGCGGTCGGACCGATCGCGGGGCCCGAATCGCGGGGGCCGTTTGTCGACAGACGGACGGTGAGAGCGTGGGAGCGCGGGCGAGAGAAAGAACGAGGAGAGAGAGGCACGCGCGGCGAATCTCTTTCTCTCGCCGCCACCCCCTCCAGTGGAGGGCCCACGTGTTTGCTCCGGGGGCCGACGGCCCCCAAAAAGACAGAGTGGGCGACGCCGCGCGGGCGCCCCGCAGGGGAGGGAGGGGCCAGTGCAGGACTCGACACCCCCCACCATGCAGACAGGCGCGGTCCTGCGGGACGCATCGCCAAATTCGATGGGCCCGATGGGCCCGAGCCGCCTGCCAGCGAGCGAGCTCCCAGCTGCATCTGGCGGCGGCAGGAGAGAGAAGGGAAGATATACGGCCTCATCCTCATCCTCATGCCCTCGTCCTCGTCATCCTGATCGACTCGTCCCCGTGGGCCCCACGGGCCGTATATCTTCCTGATCTTCTACTTGAGCAGGTGCGCTGCGAGAGTGCGGGCCCTCTTGGCCTCCCGCTCGAGCACCGGCGCCGATTCCTCGGCCGCCGAGCGCTGCGGAGGGTCGAAGAACACGCGCGTCCTCGACAACTCGAGGACCTCCGGTGGCGTGACCTTCTCGGCGTCGGCGGGTGCGTCGGCCTCGGCGGTGGGCGCGGCGGTTCTCAAACCTTCTCCGTTCCTCCTCCTCCTCCTCCTCCGCCTCCTCCTCCTCCCCCTCCCTCTCGTTTCTCCCTCCTCCTCCTCGTCCTCCTCCTCATCCTCCAAGCCTCTTCATCATTCTTCATTCTCCATCTTCATGTTCCTCCTTCTGTCCCCCCACCCTCTCGACCTCCACCGCCGTCGCGGTCGCCACCTACCGCTGTCACCACGCCCTTCCTCCCTGGTCGCGCCTCGCTCGTCATCGCGTTCTGCCACGCCTCGTTGCGCACGAGCAGGGCGAGCGTGAACTGCGACGACGGCCGCCACATGTCCTCTGGGTAGCCCTCAGGACGAGGGAGCGTCAGCAGCTCGCGCCGCGCAGCGAGCACCGGTGGCGCCGCGGTGCTCTTGGACAGTCTGACGAGCCACGCTGGACACAGACCCTGCGACGACAGGTTGAGCTGGCTCGCGTCGGGCGACAGGGCGATCGCGTACTTGACGCGGTGGGCTTCGCCACTTGCCGCGAGGCCGTCCGATGGCACTGCAACCTCCATAGAGACGTAGTGCTTTGGCGAAGCCGCGATGCCCTGCGCCTGCGCGAAGGCCTTGCCGAAGAGAGGCAACGCGAAGCTGTCAGCAGGGGCGTCGTAGAACGCTTGGCCTTTGACGCACAACTTCGCCTTCCGATGCAACAGTCCGACTGATGGGCCTGCTGCGTACTGCCCGTCCACGTACTGCAGCCGAAGCATCTGGCCAGTCAGAGCGCGGGCCACCGCCTGGGCTACGAAATAGGACTTCACCATCGGGTGCTTCTGCGGAGCGACCACCGTGACGGATGCGTCCTGTGAAAGCGAATCAAAAACTGTTTCCTCTCCTCTTATTATTCCTTCTTCCTTTCCTCCTATCCCTCCTACCCTCTCCTCCTCCTGTTCCCTCCCGCCTGCCCCCTACTCCCCCCCCCCCCCTTCCTCAGACGAACGGTCCTCTCCCTGCCCCCTCTTCTTCTCCACCCGCCCGCGATGCGGGCGCTTCTGGCCGATGGGCAGCTGACAGCGCTGGCGGGCGCCTGACGGCCAGACAGACAGAGAGGACTTAGGAGGTCTGAGAACGGAAGGTACGGAAAGAGAGTGGGAAGGGAGAAATGAAGGGGGTGGTGCGGAGCGAGGCGGGGAGGGAGGAGGGTTGGCAAGGGCTGATGCTCGGCGGGGAAGGGGAGGGATGCGTGCGCGGGGGGGGGGAAGGGCGGGGTAGAAAGAGAGAGAAGAGAGAGAGAGAGGATAGAGAGGAAGAAGAGACGAGAAGAGAGAGAGAGAGAGAAAGACAGGAGAGAGAAGAGAATAGAGAAAGAGAGAAGAGAAGAGAGAGAGAGAAGGAGAGAAGCGTAGAAGAGCGAAGACGAACTCAGAGACGATACGCAGAACAAGAGATGTAGAATAAGAATAAGAAAAGAAGAAGAAGAAGAAAGAAGAAAGAATAGACAAGAGGTAAATAGGCGCGGTACATAACAAGAGTGAGCGAACTTACAACTTGAGGGTCCAGGGTCCTGAGCCTGAGCAGCAGCAACATCTCTGAGTACCGCGTCCACCGCGGCAGCACCCACCGGGGCAGCGACCTTCAGGCTGAACAGGTTGGCCTTGTCCTCCTGCCACTTAGCCGCGGCCGACTCCTCCGCCTGCTTCGCCGCGCGCACCTCGAGCGTGAGCAGATGGGCCACGAGCGATTCCTTGTTCGCCTGAAAGATGCGAGGAGTTGCAGAAGAAGGGGGAAGGGATGGAGGAGGATGGGATAGAGGGGGATGGGCGCCTGAGGTAGCGTTCCTCCTCCGCCTCCGCTGGGAATCGTCTCTCCCTGGAGGGGGGGGGGGGGGGGCAGGGCAGGGGCAGGGGGGAGAGGTGAGATGGGTAGATGAGCAATGAGCGAATGGCGGTGAACGAACGAAGGATATGGGCGTGCTCGCCTTTGCGGGATCGAACCCTTCTGGGTCCTCGGGCGCGCCGATCATCGAGCGAAGATCCTCAACCTTCTTGCGGGCCAGCTTGGTGGAGATCGAGGTTTCCTGGCGGGACCAGTCGTTGTCCGTCTTGGGAACGCGCGGCGACACCGACGAGCACTGGGAGCCCAGATGGCACCAGTGATTCGCCCACGCGGCGTCTGACGGCCACTCGGCGTCCTCCACGGTCGGCATCATGTCCACGGACGCCACGAGGACCTCGCTGACGTGCTTGACGGCGGCGCAGACGGCGGTCAACTCTGGCGAGGTCGGGCCAGACAACTCGGCATTGTCAGCAACGGTCTCGCTAGCATCGGCGAGGAGACCAGCCATGTAATACCCGCGAAGGGCCATCACAACGTTCGCAACGTCCTGTGACCCAAACACTGAAAGGAGCTCACCAGCCTTCGCGTTCACCTTGAGCACCCCTGTGACGTCGTGCAACCCGTTGAGGATAGTGGCCGCCTTCCTCGCGAGCAACGCGACACTGTTGTCGAGAGTCGCCCAGACGACGGCAGCGACCTCGGGGGGGTCGGAGCTTGCAGGCGGCGAACGAGTCATTATATCTGAGGGAGGAGAGGGGGATGGAGGAAGGAGGCGAGGGGCGAAGGAGAAGGAGCCAGAGCAGAGAGGAACAGAGAGACACCGCCACCCCCCACGCCCGCCCACTCGCCGAACAGGCGTGCCGGCACGGGCAGACGCCGCCGCGACGCCGACTTGGCTCTCGCGCAGGCGAGCCACTGGGGCCGCTGGGGGGGGGGACAGGAAGAAGAGGAGGAGGAGGAGCAGCAGGAGGAGGAGGATCGGAGAGGAGGAGTCGGAGGAGGAGCGAGGAAAGATAGGGAGGGCAGGGGAGAGAAGAGGAGGATGAGAAGGAAGAAGGAGGAGAGGAGGAGGAGGAGGATGTGGAGAAGGAGGCAGGAGGAGGAGGAGGAGGGATGAGGAGAAGGGGGAGGATGAAAGAGGGGCGATTGATCCAAATCCCACCTTACGCAGGACCAGCTGCAGGGCGACGTGGTCGGAAGTGGCCGCGTGGGCAATGTCTTGGTCGACGTCTGCCAGCTGCTGGTTCATCTCTGCCATGGCCGTTGCGTAGGAGACATGCAGGCGCTTCGCCATCGATACCACGCGGCCTCCTGCGGCTGGGCCGACGTGAAGCTTCGGGTTGATCTTCATGAACGCCTTCGTTTTGGAGATGAGCGCGTCGCCGTCGTCGCCGACGAGCAGCGCGCACAGGTCTACCAGGCTCGATGGGTCAGCACATCCCTGAGCTTCAGCTTTCGATTTGATATGCTTGCGGGCGGCGTCGTCGAAGCCGCGTGGCTCGTCTGCCGCGTCCTGCTCAATCTGGTAGTCCTGGTCATCCGACCGGAAGGCGTCGTCCCCAACGTGGGTCGATAAGATGACCTTGATGTGAGCACGCACCTTCATCCACTGCTTGAACGACCTGCACGCAGCCTTCATTGCTACAAACGAGGCGCGGTCCTCGGATGGCTCCAACTCTTCTGCGGTCTTGACAGACGCGGCTGGGAGCGAGTCCCTGAGGTAGGCGAAGAGGAATTCCAATCGGCCCTTCTGCATGAGATCCCTCCCGAACGGGAGGTGCACGACGCCCTCAAGACCGAACTCGATGCACCAGCTGATAACCCTGGGTGGTAGAAGCTCTGACCGTTTGCTGCGCTATGCCCAGGCCGCACCGTTATCGCAATAGCAGTGCAGTCTGGGCATTGAATGCGCAGCAAATCGGTTAAAAACAAAGGGCCAGTCAACGTCGGCCCTGAAGTCGTCCATTTGGTCATCGGTCAAGTTCTCCAGCGTGAAACCGATGGCGTTCATGACGTCATCCAAGAACCTGACGGCCTTACCCTCGCTCGTCGTCTCCTGTATGACCTCGACGCGCTTCCGCTTCTTCTTGGTGTTGTTCGTCGCCGCGTCATCGGCAGTCTCCTTGCAGTTTTGAACGGGGGCGCGGCTCTTCTCGAACAGTTTACTCTGCGTCATGTCGACAACTAGCTTCCCGAGCTTCTTGGCACAATCGTCCCTCGACTTCAGAAGCCACGGGATGCCGTCGTTGGTAGGCAGCGTGAACTTCAACACGTGGACGCTGCATGCGCCCAAGTTCGCCTTCTGCAGGGCAACGAGGACCGTGTCAATGACGAAGAACAGCTTCTGTATGTTATCGCCGAGAAACGTGACGTGCTTGTTTACGTAGACCTCGAACTCATCCCACAATCCCAGGGCATCGAGCTTGTTCTTGCTCTGCCGACAATACCTGAACGCGTCGAAGGTGTCGAAGTACCCAGCGTACTTCTTAGAACCGTTCAGGAACTTCATCGTCGTCCTCTGCACAGCACCTTTGTCGCCCTTGTCTACGTCGCTCTGGTCGGAGGCGGCGTACTCCTTGTCTGCGTCCAAGACCTTGTGGAAGCATTCGGCGAAACTCCTCCCTTTGGACGAAATGTTGCTCAGCTCGTTGCCCGCATCCTTGAAGTAATCAATGATGCCAGGAGGGCGGCGATGGTCGAGCTCAGTGACTTCTAGACCTGCTTCCATGCTGACAGACACCTGCCTGTTGTTCGGCGCTTCACGATGCGCATCGTACGCTGCCTCGATCACGTGGGCCCCGCCAACCACATACCACTTATCTGGCGAGTCATGAGGAATGACGGTCGGCTCGTTGCGGGCGCCGAGGACGTATCCCTTCCGCAGAAAGATCTCTTTGTAGCGCATCCTCGGGTCCGCCTGGTCCCTGTCGTTCTGGGGGTGCCGAATGAGCGCCTTCTCGCCCGAGGCCGTGTAGAACTGCACGCGCTTGTGCTCCGTTCGCACGTACCACTGGTAGAGGGTGTCTTGGAGAAGAACACGCTGGACCCCCATTTCGAGTCACGCGGAACAACTTGCTAACTGCTACCCCCACGCTGAACCAAGTTCAGGGTCCCCAACAAGGCGAAAAAAAAACAACCGAAAAACACACACCGCCAGACAACACCAGACGGCGCCGCCAGCGGAGGCGACCTGGGCCAGTCGGGGGCAAGGGGGGGCGGGAGGGAAGGAGGGCAGGAGGGTAGGAGGACGAGGAGGGGAGGGTGGAATAGGGCAGGCTGGAGGAAGAGGAAGTCGCTGAGAAGTGAGTGGAAGCGAAGCGAGGGGGGCGCGCGGGGAAGCAGGTAGGTCGGGGATACGGCGGGAGAGGAGAATAGAAGGGGTTGTCTTGAACGACAGGGAGGCGGAGGAGGAGGGGGGGAACATCCGCCTCCTCCGCCGCCGCGCGGCGCGCTGCCGCGGCCGCCGCCGCGCCC